CAGGACTGTATCGTTTCGTGCATCAGTCGTTTTTCACCAGTTCTTGCCGTTCAAACGCTTAAACAGCTGACGGAGAACGGATCTGACGGCGTGCCGAAAGCAGCCGCGCGAACACACCCCATCGTCCGCTGGGAGCCAGACTGTAGGCAATTCTTATATCAGAATGTCCGCAGCGAAGTGCGCATTATCGTGAAAACAGTAATATCGTGAAAATTTTACATAATGAGAGGAGCTTTCATCCAACCTGCAAACTACCGAAATCTTCCATTTTTTGGCAAAATCGTATTACAAGACTAAAATGGCACATTTTTATTTACGCTCCTCATTACTGACCGTGTTCAGCAGGTGTAAGTTTTTTTTCAGTAAGTTACCTATGCAGGTCATTTATGGTTTTCCGTAGCATTTGCTACTGAACAAACCGCCTAGGCGGAATTATTGCGCTATGGGCAGAGGGTCCGCCCTTGGTTACCGTACCTTATATTATCTTTTTGTAAATAGATGAGCAGAAACAAAGAATTATTGGGTCATTTACATGGAATAACTGTGTTGTCAGTAGCCTAGTCCATTCCTTTAAATTTCAGGTTGACACTCGAACAAAGGCTTTGACCGAAGCCACTAATGAACTTGAAGCAGCTTATCGGAAAATTGCCGATTTGACGGATAGCCAGAAGTCAGCTGAATTGAACAGCAAAGAGCTAAGGTACGTGTTACGATGCATTCACTGCGTTTAGTAGGTAATCAAGGTTTAATAGTTGCTGAAATTCTGGGGAATAAGTTATGAACCACCTTCATGTGTGGTCATTTTCTAGCCCCACTCTATGTCATTCTTTTTTCCAAATGTTTCTCTTCCCCCCCCCCCTAAGAAACTGCCATCGAACGGGTAGGGGAAGGGACAGCGCACTTGAATCAGTCAACGAAAAAGTCAATAGCCCAAAGCATAGGCAAGTATACTTCCCTCGATGGGTATGCGCAACTTACATATGTCACATGCCCTGAAGGGAATAGTACAGCGTATGCGACGGCCTGAGCAAGCGAGCCGTATGCGACGCTTACCCCCTTACGTTTAGGGATCCCTAGTGCACGATTTACCCTTCTAAAGGTAAAAAAAGTTACATTTTGTTTGGCAACTTCTCAAACATCAGTTTTTTGAGTTTTGATCTCGGATCTGCAGTATTTCGGGATAGGATCTGCTAGTTTTAGTCACAAACTCGATGAAACGTTCGCTTTGCTTCTGGCGGAAAGAGAACGTGTTTCTATTGCTGAGGAGGAAATTCGTTCTCTTCGAGCTGCAGGTATGATTTTTTGTAAAAGTCCACAGTTCAACTCACCTTAGTCTCTGCAATGGAGTAATGTGCGTTAAATTACGATTCCAGGAGGTGAAGGCTTCAGTTTCCCTATGACGAATGAACAAATGGTCGCCAGAGAAATGCGAGAAAAAGCCGTCTACGCGCAGAAACTGGAGAAAGAGGTATCGTTGCTTTTCAAAACTTCAATTACTGCGCCGTTGACGTAGTGTCCTAGCACGTTGTCAAGTGTTCGTCTGGGAGTATAGCGCGTAGAATTTGGCTGAGACCGCTCGTGGGCACAGTCATACTTCTTCCTAGAATACCTTTTTCGAAAAACGTTTTTGCAGTCAGAGGCATCCATTTTGCAGGATGTGATGCGTCCTAAAGCGGTTTAAAGCCACCACTGGTAGAGTCGCATTGGTGCAATGGTGTCATCCACAACATGCCTACCATCTCGCCAAATTTTCCTTTCGCCACTGACTGGGGGTGTTGCGGACTCTTTGGCCCAACTATCAGAGATAGTAGTTTTTTGCCTTTAACCTCGGGAAGGTATACAACTCGGAGAAATCATCCCGAGACCAACTACGACATACCTCCAGCGGACCCAACGATGAGTAGTGCCTTATTTACGCAATTTTGCGTGAGCAGACAACTATTCTGCCAGCCATGAGGTTTACTGAAATCTTTGAAAAAACAGATAATTTCAATTGAAAACTAAAAAAACTTTGGTTTTAGTTATATCTAATTCATTTAATGGGGTTGTCTTGGGTTTAATTAGAGCTTCCAGTACGAAATGGACCATTCGCTTCAGATCTGGCTTTATTCCGCTCAAATGAACGTAGTGGGTTCTTATTGTGGAAGCAACTTTTCAGCTGAAGCAGTGGAATTATCTGCATTATTCGCTGGCGGAGTGAAATGAGACTCATCCTTAGAAGGAATTGGTGTAACGCGAGAAACCCCTTATCCTTTTGACTGTCGGCTCGCCGGCTGACGGTATGTCTCTTTCAGTCAGCCTGTCAACGCCTTGCTAACCTTGATCCTTTTTCCTATCTCTGAGCGACTTTAGAAGCAAGTTATGAGCTTTTGTCAGCGAAAGCACTGAGTATCGGCGCCTGCCCCGCCCGCTGTGGGCGGAGCTTAAAGCCACATGTGCTCCTTACATCTTGTCCTACTCATCCCCACCTTGAAGCCTCCCTATATTGCTCTTCAGGTAGAACCGAATTATCAGGTAAATAAGCAAACAGACTGGTATATCTAATTATGTATAGCATGGATACTCTATTCTAGCTCGAAGAAACGCGAAAACGACTGGACGAACTCACCAAGTGTTGTGCTGGAAAGGATGATGAGCTGAAAACGCATATGGAGATCATTAATGTTTTGAAGGAGGTGGGTTTATTCCGAAAAAAGGCGTCAAGTGTATTCCGAGCGCAGTTTCAGGAAATTTCCAAGCGTGGAGTTTCAGGAAGACGGAGAGGGGAGGCGAGAAATTGCTGAAAGAGATCGAAGAATAAAAGAGTTAGAGGAAATGATGCAAGGAATGTTCGATCGTGGAGAGGTGAACAACTGCTGATTTTCACAATCCTATGTGAAATCAAGAACTGTTTCTCTTCCTTTTTCTTTTCTTTTTCGAGTAACTTAACCTCTAGCAGGCTCCCAAATTTGTACTTGTTCAAAGTAAAAATCTATAGAAAACTAGCCATATTTTGGTGCTAGCGGTCTGATTGACAATACATATGATCTAGGTGTAGATGGGGTGGGGGGAAGAAGCGGATGTAAGCTGCTTTTCTGAGCCTTTGCTCCGCTCTCATAACAGTTTGGGGAAATGTGAGCGTAGCGTGAGATACGGATGTTCGAGGACTAACCCCACGCTGGTCATGTGGGCGGAAGCCACCTGGGCAGTTGTGCCATTCCACATTCGTGCGAGAAAGGCGCACTTGTCAAGTGGCCTTGCCTGTACGATCTGCGTGGAATATGTCTTGAAGGCAGCGTTCATACTTTGCGCCAGCGTTTTCAGCGATTGCCGCGAAAAGCTCAAAACGCTGGCTCGAAACTCATATCTTCATAGTGGTTCAAAACCGGCGTACATTAGAACTGCGACGCGAAGTATAAACGCACTTTGACAAGTTAAGGCCAAAATCGTTGTAGCGATTCCTTCGTTGTATTATGAAGGAGAATGCATCCCTAACCTAAATATTTATAAAATTTAGAAATCTGAAAGTAAATGTGCCGCTACCTGTAACCAAAGTACTGCGTTTGAAAGAAGTGTTGCCGCTGCTGCAAACTTGTTATTGGCGTCAGTTATTTTGCTTCTTACTCTTCGTATTTTTCAACAATCAATTACAGAATAAACAATAAAGCAAACGCCATTTGTTCATAATGGCAGCCGTTTCCTTGAAAAACTTTTCTATGAATGGTTTGCGCTCTGGGGAATCCATCGCTGTTCTCGTGAGCTATAATTCCTTGATTAGCAACGGAATCGGTGTATGTAACTATTTTGGTGATTTGCTGTAAAATAGCTGCGTTTTGTCAGAGGAGCCTGTACATAGATTTGGTCCTAGTTTTCCTTTTTTTCCCTTGTTATGTATTCAACTGAAGTGGAGCCATGAAGTACTTACTCAATTTGGCTAATTTCCGCGATTTTCTTATATGTCCGGTCAATTGTTTCACAATTTCTGGGTGAAGATAGTTATGTTTTGAGGTATGTACCAGTGATTCTAGTAGTCTTATCATTACCTATCCGCCAAAACCGGTTAGCATGGTTGTATAGTCTATATATAGTCTTATTGCCTTGTATCTGTGTACGAATAAATGTAGTTTCGAAAGTTGTCTCTTTCTGTGCTTAGTGAAGCAACAGCTTTTGATGAACATGATTATAGTGTTGTTACAGTTGGCACAGTAAAATGTGATACTCTTTCTACCCACGTCACAGAGCCACCAGTTCATGAGCCAGAGGGCTCATCAACGGGTGGCTCACGTTAAAGGCATGCCCCGTGCTTGAAAATAGCAATTTGTGCGGCACGAATACTACTAACAATATGGTGAATAACATGTAGTGGCGGAAAATGCAGAGGGAACCAGCCCGAAATGCGGGTATGTGACAAGAGAATCGTAATTCATCGTGGTCGTCGCGCTGGTGGCGTCGCGTGCGACGTCGCGCCCGCAAATGACGATGGTTCCAGGTAATAGAATGGCGACAACAGGCAATTCAGAACCGAAAACAGTCATGAATGTCTATGACGGGGTCTACATGAAGTCCGGTGCTCCAATCGACAGGTTAACACGAGTTAAGAAAACGCCGCGCCCATTGCCGCGCGCGGCGGAGCGGCAAATTACGATTCTCTTGCCCGTCTCCCCCGAAATGCCTCATGTAGAACAGCATGCCGAAATGGGTTCATACGCGCATAATTCGAAGAAGGGGCGTGGTTGGACGAGCTCTCACATGTCGGTGTCGGCTCTTTCCCCTTATCACCTCACTTTCACCATCCGAGATGGAGAGGGCTAGTAACGAAACAACTGCACCACGAGGAAACTTACAGGAAGGAAAGCTGGGCGTTGCCGTGGCCAGTGTGCGGCCGCGGCCTCGTCTCAAGTGGGTCGCGCTTTATTCACCTATTTTTTAGCTAAGAAAGTAGTTGATCCTACATTGCTTGCGGCAGGACAACCTGTCTCTGAGAAGGCGTCTGTACATCACTCAAACAAAAGGGGCTAGTGCCGTTTGAACGCACGCAATTTTGGCAGCGAGCTCAATAAAGTGCCAAGATCACCAAATCCGCTCGAAACTTGTACACATGGGCAATTTAACATCTTGATTACGAATATGACACTCATTCTTGGCGTCCTGGGCTCAGCCTTAGCAGAGCGCAGATAATCGTAGTGTCATCCATTAGCGCCAGCGCAAGAGGAATGTCATATTCGTAATCAGGATGTTAAATTACCCCTACATACAAGTTTTTAGCGGATTTGGTGATTTACCATTAGGCACTTTGAAAATGAGCTCGCTGCCAAAATCGCGTGCATCCAAACGGCATTAGCCAACAAAACTTGTACTTTCAAAGCATCCGTGAATATTAAGAATGCTTTTCATGGCAGGATTCAGTCCTGAGAGCAGGAGCGATGACTAGCCACTAGACCACTCTGACGTAATGTTTAAATTAAATATTTGCCAGATATCTCGGCCTGAAGAAGGTGCTACGCACCGAAATACACTCCTTATCCCTGAGCCAAGAGTAGGCGTGGCATTTGAACATGGCACGGAACTGGTTACTCGTGGTATATTCCCGTCTGGGACAACTGTCATCTTGTTCTGTGTTGGATAGAGACACGAAAACAATTGTATAAAGGTGAAAATGTCTCACCAGAAGCATAAACAGCTTCAGATCAAGTTAGAGCATGTGGCCACGCCTACCCGATCTCAGGGATTTCGAGTATATAGCCAGATAAGATATATTTTAAAAAACTTTTGAGACTTTTGCTGTCTTTTGAGTTTTTTGGAATAAACTTTTGGAGTTTCACATTGTTAATACACATTCAGATGAGTAATGTTTGAAGCCCAAAAACTAGTGATGTCACTGCTCGAATGGCCGTCTGCTATCAGCTCAAAAGTAGCGCTTCGACGATGACCTTGCGTTTTGCCAGGTATTCAATCAAGCTACAGCCTGATAACGTGATGGCAGGCACAGTGCGAAGATTGCGGCCTATCACTTCATTGCTTCGAATTCACGTCGATCACCAGAGAGGCTTGTTTTTTGTCACGTGATTTCGTCATATTTTGAATTATTGCAATAATTCAGATGGCCTTCTAGAAATTAATGATTTGGGTTTTCAATAATTTGTGTGGCTAGGTGCTCCTCTCTGGTTCCAGGAGGGGAATCTATCCCTTTTTAAAAGCCTTACGCCCAGTACTTTGATATTCAGTCAAAAAATTAGAGCAGAGGTGCTAGATAGATCACGAAACAAGTGTGGAACGGTGAAAAACCTGCGAAAAGGCGTTTGGCTTGCGCGGTGATGAACGAGCTTACGGTTTACACAGAACAATTTGGACGAGTTCTCCGTTGGCAACGTGCCAATAACCGCCCGGTAGATACGGCTAGGTACACTCCATATCCCGGAAATGGAGAAGGCTACATATATCATCTAATCATCACGTAGCATACGTTCCTCGTGGGATATTTCCTTTTGAGACAGCTGTCATCTTGCGTTGTGCGGACAAAAGACGGTCACAACTGCCCCAGAACGAAGAATCCTATAAAGATAGCCAACCACCTCATGTCCAAATGAAGCACGCAGCCACACCCTTCCCAGTTCCCGGATATGGAGTGTACATGCAGTCTTGTTCGCTGTGGATGATGGGTGCTGTCAAGGAGAGCTTGGTTTAGCGCGGCGCCAGTTCGTTTGTTCTTTTTTTCCTCCATCAAGCGACAAGGCAGTTTGCATCAGTCGTTTTCCTTCAATTGGTATCGCTTACCCGTCTCAACAACTGATGGGATACGAGCTGGCGGCGCGCCAAACCCATCCCCCCTTGGCACGCCCCATCCTCTGCACCAAGCAAGACTATATGTGCGCATGCATGCCCCAGAGCAGCTGACAAATCGTGTCCGTCAAATCATAATGGACCGATAAGAGTACCAGTATCAGCTTGTCTGCGGTGGCGTGAGAAGTGGCCCGCTTGTCACCCACGCGGTCTATGGGTCGAATTCCGGAACGGCTCCCGCCCAGGCTGACCCAATCTACCATCCGGGGACGCATTAGTACCAGATTCTTTTGGGAGGACAACAATCAGGGCACCTTGAGGATCCCCAGCAAAGATTCCCATTTGGTCGCTGGAGGGAGTAGTTTCCATTTGGTCCGTGGAAATTTTTCTGATCCTTGATTTTTTTTTCCTTGAGCTTGTACTATACCCTCTAGAGTGCAGTAAAACTAGCATTTCCGGTAACTGATCCCCCGCTCTTCGACAGATTTCACGGAAACATCCTCAAGCTGATTGGTCGCTTATGGAAGTGAGTTGTACCGGAGGAGAAAATCAAGTGGGGAGTGTTAAGGAGGGAACGATCGAAATTAACAAGAACTCCCCCTACGTTAAGGAGTGCTGTGACAACAACACTGATTTTCACATTGGTCGATATTGTTAGTATCATAGTCATTATGGAGGTCTCATCGCATCCGGAAATCTACCACGATCCTAATGGAAGTAGAATGTGTACGGTTGAAGGGACTGAAACTCGATCGACATGCTTGATACTGATGCTCAGAGGTGGTACTTCTGGAAAAGGGGCGGTACTTCTGGCGTGCAGGGCCTCATTGTCCACTCTTGTAGGCACTTCACACATATCGTCTACTCCAGCAGGTAGTTTCCCCAGTCCGGTGGGCGTTACAACCTCACAAACGTAGTCAATCCATCGTCCTCTGTGCCTTTAAAGACGGTGGGCACGATGGCTGGGGGCGTCGATCACTAGCATGCGTCATGATGGAAGAATGCTTACAGGTTAGTGCTGGGAGTGCTTAAGCTGCACTCTCGCATACTTCACCATTGAAGTTCATCCGGGGCAAGGACGGCTCGCTCCAGCGCCATCGTTGCCAGCCTGCCTTAAAATCACTTCGCCCCGAAGCTCGGCTTACTTCACAAAGATTTCCTCATTTTAAGCGTCTCTGCGTCACTCCAGAATTCTCAAAGAGAGGAAAATGAGGATGTCAAAACGCTGTCTCAAATATACAACACACATGTGGCCAATTCCCCAGACAACACTATCAGACATGAGATCGGATACTGCTAAGTTTTTTCAATAGATCTAAGGATTTATTTGCAACCGCGTAAGGTCGTCGTTGCTGGATTGCATTGTGGCCGGGTCGTGTTTGACCGCCAATGGAATTCTACTTGGAAAGAATCCTTCTTCCCATGTCTTCCCTAATTCATGAATTTGAGGTAACTCTTCCATCCGATGAAATGAAACAGGCTATGGTGAACGCATTACTTGGCGATGACGTCTACGGTGAAGACCAAACTGTTAATGAATTAGAAGCCAGGTGAGCTTTTGATATCGAATTGTACGGCTGATTACCCCTTTCTTCCAGCACCTTCGGCTGCCTGTAACCCAATCGCAGCACCAGCTGCTGGACTATTTTGACCACAAATTATTTTGTCCACAAATGGGTTTGTGGGTTCCCCAGATCACCACGCGACGTCGCGCAGATTCCGGCGTGCGGTGTCGCCGACAGGAATCCGAGGCGTCAGCTGAGCTTGGCAACTTCTGGAGACGCAGACGTAGCAAGATAGCTCGCTTGTATGTGGGAGGTGGAGAGTGTGACGCTCCAACTGATTGCTATCTACGCTAGAATAGGTGCGACGTGGCGTGATTCCTCTTGAACATCATCGGGAGGATCTCCCTCGCAGACGTGGATCGCATTTATCTCCTAATGGCAGTCGTCGAGACTTTTGAATATTCCTGGATATACATGGAGTTCAAGAATTGTTAACTTGGGAGACTGTTCATGACTTAGTGGCCCATTCTTTGAAACTTTGGCCAGATTTCGATCGAATTTCTTCTACCGAGATAAATTTGGCCAGCACTCGTCCGCCCCTCTCTCCACCCCCCCAACCAGAGTTCAACCCCGAAATGAACGTCACATCCGTATGAGGTGTGTGATGTCCGCGCCATGAGCGCCAACGCCACAGCAGTTTTGTGCCGACGCCCGTAGCTCATGTGCCGAATGATTCCATGACAAAACTGTAACCACCGAATCTGACCACAGGGAAAAAATTCGATCAAAATTTGGCTGGAAATTCGAAGCGGAAAAGGGCAAATAGTGCTCATCGAGGAGTCTGGAGGAACACTTTGATATTCTTGGTGACTTCCTTAGCCAAAAATTTGACACCGCAGCTTTCCCTCGATTCCTTCGCCGCATAGCGCCATAATTTTGAGTATTAAGGGGACCGCTCGACCGCATCGCTATGTCCCTTCCCACACCAAAGGATTAGTTCAGAGCGCAGACGAACAGAGTCGTCGAGCGGTGGGTTTGCGGAGATGAACCGGCCTCTACTAAGCCTAAAAATGTTTGCGGCAGTTGGGGGGCGGGGGGGAGTGAGGGGGAGTGGAAGGGACACAGGCGCTAACGAATGATCTGCCACCCCTCTTCTTCACGTCCATTCTTTATCTTTGTAGAAACAATCTTTGCTTGTTACGATATACACGTCCATGCCCTCTGATGACTTTCAATTACTTGAAGCTCTTCATAACTCAATTTCTCACAGAAATCGCGTTCTTTTTATTTATCACCTTATCACACAAATTTTACCAAATGTCTATTTTCGTGCATTTATAACTCCGCATGGGAACCAGGTTTAGGTGTGACGTAACGCACCTGATGACCTGATAGTGTCACAGCTGGTAGAGATAAGGTAAGTATCGACCTGAGAGGGGGGCCCTCCAAGCATGCTCGGGTGGGTGCGGAATCCTTTCATTCTATAAACCAGTAAGTTTGTGTGTCGGTTTGTATGTTTGTATGTATGTAGGTTTGTATGTATGTTTGTCTGTCCGTCCGCAAAATACTTCACGGGTTCGAGTTCGCTGGAGGCGAAAACGACCGCTAGGCAAACCGGTAACCGACTGGGAGGATGTAGCAGTCCAATGATTTGATTGTGATAACAGCCTCCGCTATATAAGACAACCATTCGGTACACTCCGAGCCATTGCACGAGCTGCTGGCGTGGCAGCTGGACGTGTGCTCGTGCGGGGCAGGGTGGGGGTACCGGGTCGCCCTGCCTCCTCTCCTGCACGTGCTCAGCCCGGAGCTGAGCACCGCGATTCCGTGATGGGAGGGAGCAGAGGGCAGGCGCGGGAGGTGGTGGGGACGTGAGGGGGGTAGCGCGCGTTTCAGTAGAAACGCGCACCAAGGGATGAGGAAACAACCGCTAACAAAACTGCAAGCCAATCTATGTTACCGTAACGAACTAAGAAGTTGTTTTGGTTGTGATAACACTCTCCACTATATAAGAAAACCACTACACTCCGAGCCATTGCACGGGTTGCTCGCGTGGCAGTTGGACGTAAGCGCGTGCAAGGGGCAAGGTGGGGGGGGGGGGGTGGAGTGGCGAGTACGGAATGGGGTGAGGTGAGGAAGGTGGGAGTTAGTATCGAGTGACCCCTTCTCCCATCCTCACTCCCTTGCGCGTACTCAGTCGTCTGAGCCCATGCAGGGATAGGAGGCATATGGATTGAATCGGGCAAACTGGGTACAGTAAGGGGATGCGTAGCGTACGCTGAATTAGGAGGCAGCGTGCAAGAGAGAAGAAGAACCGCTAGCAAAACTGCAAGCTAATCCATGTTACAGCAACGAACTAAGAAGTTGTTTGGATTGTGAATCGCTCCCGCTATCTAAGCCAACCACTGTGATATACTCTGTGCTACTGCAGGAGCTGCTCGCTTGGGAGCTGGACGTGAGCACGAGCAAGGCGGTGGTAAGAACAGTGGCGGAGTAGTGTCCCTATGTTGCATGGCGGCTGCATACCACGTGCGTGGGTGGGTGCCGGTTAAATAGGGTCAGTGGGATATGATGTGGTGAGGGGATACCAGATGAGAACGGCGATTTCGCGATTAGGAGCACATAGCCCCTGCGGCGGTAAGGCGTCTACGGTTGCGATAGATGGAGAAGAAAATGGATCGACCGCAATCGGAACTGAACCGATTAATGTTGCATTATCAAATTGTTTAGTACGTTTGATAGTCATAACACCCTCCACAACATAACACAACCATTTAGTGCACTCAGAACCATTGCACGGGCTATTCGCGTAGCAGCTGAGCGTGACCTGTAGGGTGGCTGAGCGGGGAATAGCTGAGGTTAGTTTGGGGATAGGTGAGGTGAAGGGGTACCATATTGGCGCTACCAACACTCGCCTGAACAGGAGCACGCAGCGACTGCGGAGACCGAAGAATCCGTGGCTGTCATAAGATGGGGAGGACAGTAATCGGTTATCCATGACCAGATTTCAAACCTTTCATTCAAGTGATGTGCCCTGCGACTATATGGCGCGTTCTTACATTTATTTGATTAGAAGACACCGGTTAGGCACCATGAGAGCATCATAAATGCCTAAGACAGTAGTATCGCCCTGGGGTTGGTGGATTATGCCTTCTTGTTCCTTCTTCACAGTAAGAAAGTGAGGCTCTAAAGCAGTTGCTTGCCCGGCGAAGCCGGGCTTCCAAGAAGGGAGGAGAGCTCGGCGTCAGCCGGGCGATCCGACGGGTTGTACGGGATCCTAAGCTTTGCTCTGCCTGTTACGATTCGATCACTACAGCGCCTTATGAGCAGTGCACTACCGAAAAGTTCCGTTAAAATTATGGAGCCGCCTGGCAAAGCCAGGCCAGCTCGGCGAAGCCGAGCTCAAGAGAAGGAGGAGAGCACGGCGTGAGCCGTGCGATCCGACTGGTGGTACGTACATACATCCATATTGCTTTCCTCAGTGCATGCCGGCCTCCATCCCCCACTAATATCGTGAATGCATTACCGTAAAGACGATACTAACGGTATGTTGTCATCGTAGCTAAGAACCTACTGAAAGAATATGCATCGTTTGTGCCATAGGCAATGATTTTGTCGTATTAAAGCATCTAAAACTTTCATCAGCGAGGTCTGGTCTGAGGGTGAGGGGCGTTTTACACTCTCCCATTCCTTCTGTTGGTTCTTGTCAGCTAACCTGTGAAGTCTTGTGCAGATAAGAACTGTTCAAGTGACCCATTTTGATCTCATGAATTCATAGGTCTTTTCAAATCACCCGGTATCAAGTACAATTTGGTGCCCCCACAGAGCCAACCTGCGCACTATTATCACCCTTTCAGTTCCGCACTGAATGTGGCAATGTGATCGACCGACAGATACTTATGATTCAGTTTTATTTTCAGATGTGCAGAATTATTTGGCAAAGAAGCTGGCCTGTTTGTTGCAAGTGGAACTATGGGCAATTTATTAGCCGTCATGGCACATTGCCAACGTGGTGACGAGATCATCGTTGGCAGACACAACCATATCCATCGCTGGGAACAGGGCAACTATGCACAAGCTGTGGGCTGGTGGGTTCAATATGCTTACCACTATCTTGAAAGCACATTTCACTATGGCAAGAAGTGGATAACGGCTCTCAAGTGGGTAGTATGTACAGTCTTGTTTGCTGCGGATAACGGGAGGTTTCAGTGATGAGACTGAGTTGACGCATGCTGCCAGCTTGCCTATTCACCAGTGTTGAAATGAGTAAGCGACAACAACTGGTGAAAAACAACTCATATTGACGATCTGGCATGGTCTTGCTTACAGAAAAAAAGAGGAAAGCGCCCTTTTGCCACAAAAACCCATCCATCCTTGACCAGTCCCGTAATCTGCAGCAGACAAGACTGTACTAGTCCGTCAGAAAAGAAGAAATCAAAACAGGCTCTCGAAAACGCCCTGAATAAGGCCTTCCTTGTGCAGCTCACCTGAGAATCAAAAGAACACGAGAAGAAGCAAGAGTTCACGACGAAAATTCATGAGTGCCCCAACTAGAGGCCATACAGGTGCGGTAGACAGGGCTTTCTTCGCTTGCTCTCTTCTTAGACGCCCGCTTAGCATATGAAAATCTATAGGTACCAGTTACTCAGTGGTTTGTATTTTTGGCTGTAGTTGAACTTTGAGTGATTAGAGGTCGATTCATCGCAATAAGGACAGTTCAAACTCAATTATCCGACGAGACACTCATGTTCAAATGATGTACAGTCTAGTTCGCTGTGGACCCTGGGGCGTTCCAGGTGGGTTGGCTTTGGCACGGCGCTCTCTCTTCCTATTGCGGCCGCATGATGGCTTTCACAGTTGGTGGTGAACTGTCTAGCGCCGCGTCGAATGCTTGGAAAGCCCCAGCGTCCAGAACGAGCAAGACTGTACATCATTTGAACATGAGTGTCTCGTCGGATAATT